CTGCACAAAACAATTAAATGATAATCATTGTCATGGTTATTAACCTATACGGTCACCTAAGTCTTAATTATTAATTTTTTAGTGAACAATTACATACTAATTAATAACTAGTCTTTATTCTCGATTTCGGCTCTTAATCTACTGCCATCTTCAGAGAAATCCCGAGAGGGACTACTTTCTGGGCTGGTAGTGGAAAGTATCAGACTTCCATCAAGAAGACTCAGAATCCAATTTTGGCCACTATCAACAGAGAAAACAGTCCATCTTGAGACTTCTCTGAAAACGGCATCAGATTATCAATGTGGAATATACCTAGTTGGTAATTAGCATCAAATTGTTATATAAAAAAGCTACTTTAGGTTAATCGTATAGGCCATGACAACGATTAATAACCAAACACCACAAACGGCATCAGATTATCAATGTGGAATATAATCTAGTTGGTTATTAGCATCAAATTGTTATATAAAAAAGCTACCTTAGGTTAATCGTATAGGCCATGACAACGATTAATAACCAAACACCACAACCTCACCATAAGTACTTAGTTAAATAATAAATAAAATTTATAGTATTTTAGCTATGACAAGGCAACATCGTTGTTAGAAAATAATTCCAATCGTTCCTCTCAATTTATTTTTTACGAAAATATGATAATGATCAGCCATGTGGTTTAAAATTATAATGACTGGTCATTATGTTTCACTTCCAGCACCAATTTTACATTGTCTGTTTAAAACCAGTACTGATCCTAAAGCATCCTGAAAGAGTTGTCTCAAAGGCACCTTTGGTGTCTGGAATCACCTTACGAAATGCAACACACCTTCCAAAAGCATCCTACACACTCTGGATGGGATTGAAGTGCGATGAAGTTTCAAGCAGTTTAGCATAGTGGGTATTATCCATTACGCTAAAATAAGGCTAATTACATCAGCATATAACAAAATAAAGGGTTGTTGGATGTGACATTAATGTTCCCGTTCCACAGTATGATTACTCCTGCTCTGTCCATTTTTCTATCACTGACATGCACATCACGTTCCTGTATGAAAACGATGTTGGATATGGCTTCTAATTCTCTCTAAATTAGTATAAAACTGCTATCTGGAAGTCACTTTACTAGTTGTCTGGCATACAGGTCGGTTTTGGATAACTGGCTTCAACCGACTATATATATACGTCGACATGGCGTCCAGTTACGGCTGCGAGCACCTGTTTCAGTCTACTAGCAGATACCCTACGATTATAGGACAGCGATTGTCTATTTGTCATGTGTATTATAATCTGCCTTGTTCAGATGTCCAAACAACCGTACCATTTGTTTGAAAGCAATTCGGCATTTTACTAATGACATTTGTAATCAAGCCTGTTGTGATTGGTTGCATGCCTTCCATTTATCAGATGCCTGATTTCCATAATAATTAACAGAGGTGGGAGGAGATGATTATCATTGTTTATAACCACGTGTTTGCGTTGTCATAGCAAGATATTACAAATCCCGATTATCTCTCAGCTATTTTGTGCAGTGTAAACAATGTTTAGATTTGGTCTTACAGTTTGTTGAATGTACTATATATTTTAAGTTAAAGAGTAGGAGTAACACCTAATACATATATATATATCCACCAAAACTGTGTTTAATAATAACACCTAAATATATATAATGTTTAGATTTGCTCTTACAGTTTGTTGAATGTACTATATATTTTAAGTTAAAGATTAGGAGTAACACCTAATACATATATATATACACCAAAATTGTGTTTAATAATAACACCTAAATATATATAATGTTTAGATTTGGTCTTACAGTTTGTTGCATATACTATATATCTTAAGTTAAAGATTAGGAGTAACACCTAATACATATATATACACCAAAATTGTGTTTAATAATAACACCTAAATATATACAACGTTTAGATTTGGTCTTACAGTTTATTGCATGTACTACATATCTAAAGTTAAGGAGTAAGAGTAACATCTAATACACTAAAATTGTGTTTAATAATAACACCTATATATATATATATATGTACACTATAGTTTTATTTAATAACAACACCTAAAAATGTATATAGTTTTATATTTTTCGTACGTAAAAGTCCTAGTGATTAATAAGAGTATTTCTGGGTGTAACAACGTCATTTATTACATGTATCCCAGATTAAATGTAAAATAGCTTTGTAAGTTTTTAATTATGAAAAACAATTAATACTTTTTTCCTAATATTTCATGAACATATATAATTGCACATGGCGCATAGTTAAAGCGTTTATTATTGAAAATAATAAAATTCAAATCCCTACACTATCTATGGCGGAAGGTTTTAAAATAATCCATCACCAAAAGACGATATATTTAGTATTCCTAATATTTCGCGAATTTCTTGATTAAGAAAAACAAATGACGTATCATTCTAACCAGTTAGTATTTTGCACCTAATGAGATACAACATGTAATGCACAAGAATTTCACTGAGAACTTAAACAAGAAAACGGAAATTTGGCAAATGCATTCTAGCGAATCGAGTAACAAGGTAAATTTGCATAGACAAGTAAGCCTTTATGTAAATGAATCAGTGGTTTCATATACATATTCTCGTATCACGTTGTACCGTTGAACTACTAAAGTCTTAGCTCATTAAAAGCATCTTCCAAATACATGTATAGATATATATATATATAGGGTCAGTAAACATGATTTCATGCAGTACAGAACAGTATTCCTGGATTTCAGCTTATTAAACCTTACATAAATATGAAAAAAGTCAAATAAAAGAAATAAATTAACCGATGTTAAGGTGTTCTGTTGTGTGTTACGTTTAGCATTGGAATGATAACGCGTTTCCACTCGAGTTATTTCCGAGCGACATTTAGAAAGAATGAAAACAATTAGCTTCACGCGACTAGAGCAGAGAGCGAGTTAGGTTTAGTTGTATCATCTGAAAAAGTTTGTTGTTGTTTTGTTTTCTTAATTCCGTGCAAAGCTACTCGAGTGCTATCTGCGCTAGCCGTACCTAATTGCCCGTTGCCCTAAAAACGCCCTCAGCACTTTGGGGCTATTGATGTGCTATAAAAGGTAATGATAAAACCCCAGTATTCGGTAAGACTATAGTAGTCCTAAGGTTGGTAGAAGTTTCTGTTAACTAACTGTCTTCCCTCTATTCTATCATTTCAGAATTAAAGAACGCTTTATGTAGCTTTGCACGAATTGCGGGCTTACAGCGCTCGAATCCGGGTTTCGATACCCGTGGTGGGCAGAGCATAGATAGCCCATTGTGTAGCTTTGTGCTTAATTACAAACAAACAAACAAACTTTGCGGGAAAATTCTGAAAGAAAAAAAGAAAGAAACGTATTACTTTCACATTTCATAATTGGATTGGGCTCCAGTCCGTTGATTTTACAGCCATAATGACTCCGCTTTAAGGGCATTAAGGTGAAAACTAACAACTCGAATGTTTGTCAACTTGACATAACTTTGCCCATACATCTTAATACAACTTTAACAACTACTATTTCTGAAACGGCGGTTTAACCAATCACCTTTACTGTAAAGAAATTCCTTAAAGACGTTCAAAACCTTTAATATAGGTGGAATTTAGTGGAGCACGCACATCCAGATTAATGCATTTATGATTACTCAAACTGGAAGTTGGAAAATAAGAAAGGAAAATGGCATTTTGACTACGTAGGGTTGCATAAGTCGCACATCTTATCTAAATAAAAATCTCTAATCGTAAATGGTACAGGAGCAGATATATTCATCAATAGAAAATATTTCAATGTTAATATTTACAAGATACTGCAATCAGTAGTCGATTTTAGAAATAATCTGGTTATCACCAACAAGATAACAAATATAACTTTTGACATAAAACTGGACTACTAATACATTCCGTGCTATGTACGTTTCGTATATTAGGTAGATCCTTTGGTAAGAAAACATATAGAAGAATATGTCTGAAAACACATAGTGAAACGGAGATTTATTGACAATACTACTTTTTATACATGATACACATTTGTAAGTATGAACTACATACCTTCAGCAACTTATAAAATATTTTATTCGTGGGTGCTTTTAAATATGCCCTTCAAATATTCATATATAAACACGAAGCTGTTTTGTTCGTCTTTTTGTGTTTTTTTTTGTCGAACTAGCTTTTCAGTTAATGTCAAATTATGATAATCCTTTATCGAATTACTGTATAAATTATGATATATCCTGTGCGCCAAATTACGTTTAGCAACTCCCCAAGCACTGAAATTTTACTCTTAATTGCTTTTGGGGCCCATCAGGAAATTTTAGTCATGAACCAGCATGGACGCATAGCAGGGCATGTTTTGGACGCATTGCAAAATATTGGTAGTGAAAAATATTTTTGAGACTTTCATTCGTTTGGATTTCCCTAGCTTTCCATTCTGAATAAAAATGACTCCTTGATTAAATATTCTTCACGGGTTACGGTTTTTTTTCTTATGAATTGTTAAAACTTTGCTCTATCGTTTAATGAATTCTAACGAAGTTTCTAATTCGTCCGCTTGTAGTTAATTTCGCTTAATTTTAGACAAGCTTAGTTTCTTTGTTTTTCTTTTGGTTTATTGGTATATTTTAAGAGTCTGTCCCCCGATGGGACAGCGGTAAGTCTATGGATTTACAACACTAAAATCAGGGGTTCGATTCCCCTCGGTGGACACAGCAGATAGCCTGATGTGCCTTTGCTATAGAAACATGCACACACATGAAGAACCTACGTTTACACCCCTTCTTTTCTAACTGTACGAGGTTTTATAACATTCATGATGAGTAAAATATGTTATTACCAGCGACATGATGGCTTTAATCATATTAAATGGGAAACATTTGTTTCCTCAGGTGGCTGAATGGTAAATCAAACACTTTACTTTAACTGAAGTGTTTGAGTTAATGAACATTTATGTAAGAGCCTTGCAATAATTTGTAACATGACACTAGACTTTCCAATTTCGTTTCCGTCATGAAAAATTCAAAGATCCTTGGTTGAGCAAAATCCACACCAAGTGTTAAACAAAAGCTTACTTCGGTAACAGTCACCATTATCGATCCAGAGATCCGATGAGAGATGACCTGTAGTCACCATAATCGATCCAGAGATCCGATGAGAGTTGACCTGTAGTCACCATTA